GTACTTGAGAGGCGACGAGTTGGGAGCCAGTAAAGATTTTTACCTCTTTAGCTCCAAAGTCTTCGGCCAAGCATAACGCTGCGAGGAAGACTTCATACTCTGCCTGGTTATTCAAGGTTGGGAAGGATAAGGTGAGGTAGACTTCGATCAGAACTCCCTCCTCATTTTCAAGTACGATGCCTGCTCCACTTCATGCCGAGCTAGATGTTCCATCCACGAAGATGGTCCACTTAGGGTTCCACTTGTCCGGGAGGCCGACATGGCCATTTCTGCCACGAAGTCGACCAATACTTGAGCTTTAAGGGCCTTTTTCTCTCCTACCAGATGTCAAATTTAGAGAGTTCTAATGATAATTTGAGCATTTTTCCATCCATGTCGGGATGGCCGAGCAGCTCTTTTACGGGTTGGTCAGTTCGCACCATGGTCGTGTGAGCTAGGAAGTAGTGTTTCAATCTTCTCACTGCATTGATGAGGTCCAGTGCAAATTTTTCAATTTGTTGGTATCTGAGTTCGGGGTCTTGTATGCCCTTTCTAGTGAAGTATATGGGTTTCCACGCCTCGGGATTTTTGCGAATGAGAGTCGTGCTGACGACTTCGGTTGCGACGGCGAGGTAAAAGCAGAGAGTCTCCCTATTGTCTGGTCCCGAGAGGACCAGTGGTTGCGAAAGAGCTCGTTTAAGGTGGAGAAAGGCTTGTTCGCATTCCTTGTTCCATTAGAATGTTGCTTCCTTGCGAAGAAGTTTGAAAATAGTAAGTGAGTGTTGGGAAGATTTGGCCGCGGAGCGGGATAACGAGGTGAGCATCCCATTTAGGAATTGAATTGACTTATTCGAGTTTGGCATCAAAAATTTAGAGAAGGCCCTGCATTTGTTGAGGTTTGCTTCGATTCCCCGTTGTGTCAGATAGAAGCCGAGGAACTTACTTGCCCGAACGCTAAAGGTGCGCTTCTCCGGATTTAACCTCATCTTACATCTCCTTGCCTGGTCGAAGAATATTTTTAGGTGGAGCGTCTAGTCAGATTCCTCTTGGGATTTCACGATCATGTCTTCCATGTAGAATTTCATAATGTCTCCAAACTCACCTCAGAAGACTTTGTTCATCATTCGCTGGTAGGTAGCGCCAACGTTCTTCAGGCTGAAAGGAATTACGTTGTAGTAGTAGTTGCTCGACTTAGTCATGAAGGTCGTGCAGTTTTGAACCATTTTACCATGGGTATTTCGTTGTACCCTAAATACATGTCCATAAAATACAATAATTTGAAACCTACAGAGTTATCAACTAGTCTATCTATGTTAGGTAAGGGGTAAGCATCTTTAGAGCAAGCCCTATTAAAATCAGTGTAATCAATGCACATTCTCCATTTTCCATTAGATTTTTTTACAAGTACAAAGTTTGAAAGCCAGGTTGTGTATTAGGCTTCAAAAATAAAATTTGCTTCTATGAGGTCTTTTACAACTTTTTTAGCAGCCTCCGCTTTCTCGGGAGACTGCCTACGCCTACGTTGTACTACAACCCTAGCGACGGGGTCAATGGTCAGCTAGTGAGAGGCCACTTCAAGGTCCGGTCCGAGCATCTCAGCGACCCTCCACGTGAACAGGTCAACATTCTCTCTTAAACAGGCTTTCAACTACTTCTTTGCAAGGTCAGGGAGTCCTGTGCCAATTTTCACCCCTTGTTTGGTCACTTCCAAGGAGAATGACTTCGAACTTGCTGTCAGGAATGGGGCGCCTAGGATGATTAAGCTCCTCGTTGTTATCTGGCGCCGGGGAGTTTTTCGCTACTGGCCGAGCTCCTCTCTCTTTCTTTTTTTGCTCCTTCAAGTCATCTTTGGTGAAGCGAATATCTAGGTCGAATAAGTCGACATGAGGCATTGGCTTTGGCTCCTCCAAAGTGTTGGATCGCGCTATCTTGCTAGTAGTCCTGAGCGGCACATTGATGGAGTTCAGCCCCTTCGAGGCCGCTTCAAAGCATCTCATCACAGTTTCTATGTCCCCGTGAAGAGTGGCGACGAGTCCCTTGGCCATGTAGTACTTCATATTCAAATGAATAGTCGACAACATAGTCATTAGTTCGTTCATAGTTGGTCTTCCCAGGATGCATTGGTATAGAGAAGGAAAATTTATGCCCAGGAATTGGACTTTGACCGACTTGGCGGTCTTGGCCGCTCCGACCGTGATAACCAGTTCGACATAACCCTACGATTTTGTAGTCATGTTGTTGAAGCTCTGCAGATCAAAGCCCATATAGGGTGTCATATGCATTTTGTCAAGCTGCAATTTCAGGAACATTTGAGAGTACATGATATCGATTGAGCTTCCTTGGTCGACCAGTATACAACGGACATCAAAGTTCGCCATTTGTGCTCTCACGAGCAAAGGGATGCTGAAGTTAGGGGATCCATCAGGGAGCTCCTCGTGGTAGAACATGATAGGGACTAAGCTTCCCCATCATTTATCCAGGGTAGAGTTTTGGCTCGAGCTCATATCGATGAGTTACTCGAACTTCCTTTTCACCGATCCTATAGTGAGCTTGTTGGATCCTCCACCAGATATGACCATGGCGAGGGGGGGAGGGGGGGATGTTGCCCATGTGTTGTGTTCCAAAAAATGGAGGGCGTTTTCGGCCCTGTCGAGGACGTAGCAGTCCTCAGGCTGAGAGATGGACATGGCGTTCTGCAAGTTGGAGGTGTCGTCAGAGGGTGGCTTCTCCTCCTCGACCCTCTTCGCTTCTCAGGCGTCTTACCGAAGAGCCTCTCTTCTTTTGGTGTAATGTTTCAGCTACCCGTCCCTGATGAGGATTTCGATTTCATCCTTGAGGTGGATGCACTCTTCAGTAACGTGCTCATGGTCTTGTGGAAGCTACAATACTCGGTCTTGTCCGCGGTAGGCTTAGGAGGTGTTTGCATGGGAAAATGGACTATATCATGGAAGAATTCTGAGTTTGCGCATTTAGATAGAATACAATCACGACAGGCGGTCAACAACATGTATTCATAAAAATGGCTGACAGGTCCTTTGTACTCCCGAGACTCACGGGGCTTATCCTCTTTCCTATTCTCTCCTTCTCGACGGTGTGCCATAGGTTCATCGTGCCTCGAAACTCTGGCATTTTCCTGATGCCGCGAGTCTCGAGCATTATTGGAAGCTTCTTTCTCCTTGTACTGGATATAGGCATGGGCCTTGAGGAGGAAGGCATCCAGTGGTGCAGCCGTTTCGATGCCGACGACCTTGGCGAAGTCACTGTGGGGGTGCACTCCCTGCTCGAGCAAATACTTCTTCATGTCGTCGGTCGTGGAGACCTGGACAGCTTCTCGATTGAACCTTTCAATGTAGGTACTGAGGGATTCATCTTTCCTCTACATGATTGCCTCGAGCATCGCTTCTGACTTTGGATGGCGATGAGAAGCAGTGAAGTGCCTCAAAAACTGCCTTCATGGGTACCTCCAGGAAGTGATGGACTCTTCAGCGAGGCTCTTTTACCATATCACGACACCCTTCCTTAAGTACCTAGACGGGATTGGTTTGAATTTTTCCGACGTCTTCTCTGGAGCTTTTTGGACTTTACAGGTCTCAACGTATTAGACGTTATTATCAGCCGCATTGTCGGAGGAGGGGGAGGCGGTGTGCCCGTCTCTCCTTGTTGGAGTGTCTTCCTCCAGAATTGGCATATCGTTTTTGTTCTTAGCGTCATGGATGGGAGAGGGGACGGTTTTGTGGCCGTTGTTGTTGTCGTCATGTTGACCAACCATGATTAGTTTCTGAGGTTTTTTGTTTTGATCTTTTGGTTTCAGGGAAAAAAGATGGGGAAACAGATTCCCCACAGTCGGCACTAATGATCTAACCTATCGATCATAATAGGTGGTTTGCTACACGTCTGCAGCCTTGATATTTGACGAAAATGGGGGTACCTATAGACACTCTAATATTTAAGTCAGTTTGGGTGAAGAGGTGAGCAAGAAAGAGTAAAGAATAGAATACCTGACCCTTCTGTAAAGGAAGGTTTTTATAGTGAGTCCTCAGCACTGGGTCAATGGTCTCCATTATGGGTTGAGTGTCTAAGCCCACAACAGATGACTGTTAGGATTCTTACGTGGATGCAGGGATGAGCAGCTCGTGCAAAGGGCAGAAAGGTTCCACAAGGCGTGTAAGTCGGTTGGTGACGTGTCCTCGAGTGAGGAGCACATGGGAAATGTATCTTCTACTGGCCCCAACGAGCTGGGCTAGCACTTTGGGCCATCCTCAACGTAGGACTGAATTGGGCTGTGCTCGACGCTGGGTCAGTCACAGGTCCAGTCCATAACAGAATGAGATTTGTATCAATTCGAAGGGAATGCTGCCATAGTTTTGAGCAAGAAATTTAAAGCCCTTAGGTATAGATTAAGGTGGTGGAACTAGGAGGTATTCAGGTGGGTGGACTTGAAGATTGATGAAGAGATTAAAACGTTGAATGACATTTAGGCAGATTTGTCCTTGGAGGGTAATTTAATTTCATATGAGTTGTTGGCCAAGAGGAGAAAATCTAATGAGGCTATTTAGAACAATCTGATTCTGAAAGAAAGCATAATAAAACATAAGTCTCAAACAAAGTGGGTAAAGGAAGGTGGTTTAAATACTAAGTTCTTCCATTCTATGTTGAAGTGTAGAACTAGGAGGAATACAATCACAACCTTAAAGGTGGGTCCGACATTACTAGAAGACTTAGATTCGATCAATAACGCACTTACAGATCATTTTGCTGACATATTTTTGAAGGATTCTAGTCTAAAAGCATGTTTAAACTTATCTGACCTTTCAAAACTAACTATGGTGGAAAGTTCAAAATTTTGAGGAATCATTCTTTATTGAGGAAGTGCACGAGGCCATGTTCGAATGTGACGGGGACAAAAGCCCGGGTCCGGATGGATTCAACTTGAATTTTTAAAGTGTTGTTGGGAGATTTTTTGCAGCGAAGTTTTCAATTACATCCGTAAAGTTCACGCTTCAGCCAAACTACCCAAAGTAATGATTTCTTCATTTATTGCTTTGATTCCCAAGTTGGAGAGTCCTCAAGGTATGGAAGATTATCGCCCAATTAGCCTCATTGGTTGTGTTTATAAGGTTATTTTCAAGATCTTGGCTGCTCGTTTAAGTAAGGATATTGGTAGGCTCATCTCCGTGTCACAAATGACATTTGTTCCCGGTAGACAGTTATTGGATGAGGTTCTTGTGGCAAACAAATTGGTCAATTTTGCTAAAAGAAATAAGAGATGCTGCCTCATGCTCAAAGTCGACTTCGCGAAGGCCAATAATTGTGTCGATTGGGGATTTCTTGAGCATATTATGTTGGCTATGGGGTTTGGTCTGAAATGATTGGAATGGATCAATAGAGGAGTTTGCTCTAGTTTCATGTATGTGTTAATAAACGGTAGTACCACTCAGAATTTCAAAGTTTCAAGGGGTCTTAGGCAATCCTTTGTCCCCGTTTCAGTTTTCTATAGTGGCGGAGGGACTTGCTATCATGGTTAGTGTTGCACCTTGAAAAATCAATCAAAAATACAACCCTTGCGCAAAAGGGGCAGGAGAAATTGGTTTGGACAGAGTCACCACCAAACTTTATTTATCCCAAAGAGGGAAAGGAAAATATCGAGAAAACTTTTAAAGAGATAAAAACGTGGTTGTTACAACCACATTCTGGGTTTGGGAGTCGGTTATGAAAAGGAAGGTATTAGCAGCCCTCACGTCCGTTGTACTCAACAAGAACCTCTTAGTTCGAGTTGTGATGAATGTTAGCTAAGCTTGTTTGTTTTCCTCTAATCAAGATGAAACGAAAAGGTACGAGAAAAAGATCCGATTGCTAGGGGAAATGGGATGGTTTTAGGTTAAGGTGCTCACCAAGGATTGGGGCCCTTGTGCCTACGTATGCTCATTCGGACGAGAATGAGGAATCAGAGCGCTCGTAGTTCGACTACGGGAAGGTTTTTCTAAAGAAAGGTTGACACAAAATGGTGGAAAAAAGAAAAAAGGTAGCGTGCCAAGGATTAGGGCCCTTGTGCCTACGTATCTTCATTCGGACGAGAATGAAGAATAAGAGTGTTTGTAGTTTGTAGAACTACGAGATTGGTTTGAGTTTTAGGAACGAAAGATTGAATGACAAACAACCCAAGGGGCGTGCCTCGAGATCAGTCACTCAAGAATATAAGAAATGCGAGACTCCAAGAACTCAGTTCTTTCGTGAGTGGATTAGAAATGTTAGAGAAAGGTTGAACATTTTAAAGTCGAAAGATTGAATTAATAACAACCCAAGGGCGTGCCTCGAGAGCCATTCATTCGAAGATCCAAGAAATACTAGACTCCAAGAACCTTTTTATTTCGTGATTGATTGCGAAAATGTTTGATAAAGATTAAATGTTTTAAGATGAAAGGTTGAATGAACAACAACCCAAGGCGTACGCCTCAAGATCCATTCATTCGAAGATCCAAGGAATGTTAGATTCCAAGAACATCCTTCGTAAGTTGATTAAGAAAACGTGTGAAAAAGATTATATCAGGTTTGAAAAGAGGTGAGGATCGATCCTAGTTCCTAGGGGTTCTCCTAGTAACGAAACCATGAAAGATGCAAGTGTGTGCGTTAGGTTGATGGTGATGCTAAGAAGCAATCGACTTACAAGGTGTTTTAAAAAGTGGCTCAACATTGAATCGAGAATTAATTTGAAAATGGTTTAGTCTATTATCATGAATATTTAAATAAATGGGATCTTCATCATCTTGTTCATTTAAATCAATGAGATTTTTACCATCTTGTTCATCCATGGAATCTTCAATTATCTCTAAATCCATCTAGGCTTGTACGATTTCTTGAAATATTGAGTCTTCATCATTTTCATTGTCGGTAACATTATTAGAATCCAAAGAATCTTCTACTATTTCTATAAATGAATTTTTGGGATTTTTCATTGTCAAAATTTTTAAAGGTTTTTTTGTGAGAGGAAAAATGATTTAAAAAATGCAGAATATATAAAATCCGATAAGATTCATGTTAAAGAGAAATTCTTTTTTAGAGTTTTAATTGGAAGTACACTTTTATGAGAGGAAATTTTTTGAAAAATTCACAATTTAATTAGAGTTTCACGAGAGAGATAGACTTTCTCTAAAAAGTTAAACTAATGCCTTGAAATACAACATTAAAAATATCACTTTGCATTGGAATACAACATTAATTGAAATAAGAAAATTGTAGAAAAAAAGAAAGAAATTAGGGGTAAAATTGTAGAAAAAAAGAAAGAAATTAGGGGTATTTTAGAAAAAGAAAAATTAATTTTACATTAAAATTACAAAACAATTTATATTTTGACACAAATATTTTTTCTAAAACCGACCTATAATAAAAAATGGAAATGGAGGGAGTAATAAATAATTTTATTACAAATAATTTTTTATTTAAAAAAAGGTGTAAACAGTGTATTGATATAACTATTATGTAAAAAAAGTAAAGGTGTTAAAAGATCCGGGTGGGGTCGCTGGATCAGACAAAAACAACATGCCCCTTCTCAAAAGATCCGTGTTTCTTTGCCCGCCCTACCCCGTCTCTCAAAATTTGAATCTTCTTTCTTTCTCTCTCATCAAATCACAAATTTCAATCTTTTTTCTAAAACAAAGTTCTTTGTACCATTGTAGGACACCCCTTGTTGAAATTCAAATCCCTTCTTCTTTCTTATCACCATTTCATTCTCTACTTCAATTCAGTAGATCAAACAAACCAAACCACATCATTTCATGGGGACATGTTTGAGTAAGAAGAAAGGCTCTTCAACTACCACCACCTCTTCTCTTGCTGAAACCAAGTCAACCACAACAACTTCTGTTGTATTTGAGTGGAAGAAGAATTCTTCTCAGAATGGTATCACAGTTTCCAACCCAAAAGTAGAAACACTGCCAGAACCGAAGCTGAAGAAGGAGAATGATAAAGGGCAAGTGAAAAAAGAGATTTTTATCATCAAACACAGGAAGAGCCATGATGAAGCAGCTGAGTTAATAGGTATGAGAACTTCAAGCTGTACTAAAGAAGACGTGGATGCAATTCTTGTACATTGTGGGAGACTCAGCAGAAATTCTTCAGGTAAAGCTTCTTTTAAGGATCAAAGAAGGAGATTCTCCGGGTCAAACAGAAGTAATGATTTTGATGACAATGATACAATTTTCTCCGAAAAGGAACAAAAGATTTGTGATTTGCATGAGGATGATTGGAGGGAGCCTGCAGAGAAACTGCAGTTTCAATCTCCAAGGTCACTTTCACAGGATAGAAATAGAACAAGAAGAAGAAGAACGCCGAGCAGAGAAAGAGAGCAGGAAAAAGGTTCGAGCGGCATAGAGAGGAGATTTAGTATATCACCTGTAAGAAGATCTTCAGATACCGCCACATTACACAATGCAAGAAACAACACCAGTACTAGCTCTAAGCCTGCAAAAATGGTGCCTGTCCCTGCTACTGTTACATCTTTTGGAATGGATAAAAGCAATAACAATGATTGTGGAGAATCTGCAGCAGGTACAACTGGTATCAAGAGGATTACAGTTAGGAGAAATGTTGGTGTGGCTTCACCGCGTTCTCAATCTCCTGCAAAAGCAAATGGGAATGCAGCAATTCAGCAGCAGCAACTATCACTAAGTCGCAATTCGTCAAGGAAAAAAGATGAATCGCCATACAGAAGAAATCCACTGAGTGAGCTTGAATCTAACTCCATTGCTATTCCACATTCAGCAACCAATTATAACAACAGCAGGATGCAAAACAGATCCAACATGGAAGTTGAAACAGAAGCTAAACAGGTATCCACTTTGTGTATGATGGTATTCACTTATTTGAGAAGCAAAAGTAAATCAATTTATTATCTAATCCATTCGTTACATAAATGTATACAAACATAAATCAATTTTATTAATCAATTCGTTCAAAATCAATTTTTACCACTGCAAATCCAAGCACATACTAGGTAACATTTGGTTCATTTATTAGCTGGAAAGAGTTTTGTAATTTGTCCTATTTCTGTATGAGATTGATGTCATGGAGTTTCTAATGTTTCCCCTTGTCTAGTGCAGAAACCAAATGCCAACAGAATTGCATCAGACAAGGCTGTCGATGCGAATTGCAAGACAAAGATAAAACAAGATGAAGATGTTAAAGTGATGTCTTCGATGACTGATAATGTTGTTGTCAAGACAGTGGTGCCACCGGTGGCTGAAAACCTAAAACCCCGGACATTAACAAGAAGCAGATCTTCGAGGCGTTCACGAGACTTAGAGTTGGACCTCAACCCTGAAGATCTTTTGATTCCTCCACAGTCCTACACCTCACTGTTGCTTGAAGATATCCAGAACTTCCATCAAAAGAACCCACCACCCCCACCACCCGCTTCTCTCCCAGCTTGTGTTGCTAGAGCTTGCTCTATCCTTGAAGCTGTTGCTAATCTCAACTCCAATACCAGCTCAAATTTATCTGGTGTAGAGGACAGGAGAAGTCCATCAGGTTATCAATCCAGTAGGAATAAATACAATGTTCCATTGGGTACTAGCAATAGTCATGGTAAGAGAGTGGCAGATGCCAAAGATCCAATCTTAGAGTCTGAGTTAATTGTTTATGATGAAATGGTTGAACCGAGCTTACATAAGTTTGAGACAATGAATACGGGTGGTCTGAACATGGAGAAGCAAGAATCTTCAGGAAGAAGCAGCTTAAGTGTCAGTAGTGCAAAACAGATGCGAGGCATTTCTTCTTCTTGGGAACCTAGTTCTACCGATTCAAAAGATTGCCGGAGTGCTAGATTGAACAATTGCATTGACAAGGATCAGAAAACCTCAATAGGCTTGGAAGGAAGTGTGTCTTCTGTAGCAGGACGAGCAAATGTGGATGGAGCAAAGAAGAAAGTGAACAGAAAAACGAGAGTGTGATTACCAGCAGGACAATGAGATGGGGCATGGCAGGCTTGGTGCCGGTAATTTTCTTCACATGAAACCAGTCACAGCAGCTGCATCCACATAAATGAATTCACCTTCATCTTTTGTCATTAATATTCCCACGAGTTTGATATTCCTTCTGGTTGGAGTTGCACACAGCTGCAACCACATAAATGAACTCACCTTCATCTTGTCATTAATAATCCTATGACTTTGATATTCCTTCTGTTTGGAGTTGCACACTCTGCAATCAGTTTTCATTTAATTAAGGTCTATGTGAATATTGTTCCTATTTCACTTGTAATGTTTCTTTATTTCTTCAAATAAAAAATGCATAAAAATGATCAGTTACTTTCAGTACCATTTGTAATTTACTCAGACACTTGGGATAAAAAGACAGCTAAACAGTATGGTACCGGACTACCGGTATTTTCTATACCGGTGGTGACTACTCATTTATTTCTGATGGCCTTTTAGAAATCCATGAAGGTAATAAGAAGTAGGAAGAAATTGTTCTGGAAAAGAGGTCAATTCAGCTAATTCCAGATTGGAAGAATAAGTGGGAAAAAAATATATTCATCTCCCAATTTATCATGTACTTTGCAAATGATGCACATAACTTCTCTAATTGAATTTTTTTGCCCGTAACATATCCGTGCAGGGACTTATCCTTCAAGAATACAAAGATTCATTTAAGAATATGACGTCTCCCAGTAGCTGATATTTCATATGTACCAAGTATAGATCAAACCTTATGCTTTTTTTTTGCAGAGGCAAAAGAAACTTCTATTAAAATTATTCTAGCCCAGGGTGTGCTAAAATGTACATCAAAACAAGCAATAGCTAACAAACAACGATTAGCTCGACAAAAGAACACAATACAACAAATAACAGCTACCACTAAACTTAACTTGAGGCTCCCATACAAAAAGCACCAAAACTACATAAACAAATCCTCTCCTGCTCCCTCTCTCATGTTTCTCATCCTGCTCCATTCTTAGCCATCCATATATTAATCAATGTTGTTGATTGCATGTATTACATTAAATTAAGTGGTTGAGATTGAGCTGGACTGTCCAGCCAGCGCAGAGGATCCATAAAACTTCACTATTGCACCAAGCCAAACAAAAACCTGGCTACTCCCCTTAGTTTCAAACCACTTTGGTCTACAAAATATTGCAGGTTCATAGAGTGCTCCCACCCAAAGACAATATAGCCAAAATCACAAAACCAACTCCAAAGAATCACCATGACGCAGCCGCCAAAACACCTCCCACCCATACTACTAGACCGATGAGAGTACACGAGTATTTACTCTCACAGCAAGTCTAGAGAATATCTGCTCCAATTAGTTTTAAAAGAACCCCAGCCTTCAAATCAGATGCCCTGGTAACACACTACACAAACCAAGTTAGTAACAAGCTCTTTCTCCCTATATATTAAAAACTGCCACTCCAAACAAACTATAACAGAAAGCTTCCCATGCTAGGCACAAAAATAGACAATAGACACCCATTCCTTACAAAACCCAAACACTCCAAGGGATTAGAAAATCACTGCAATAGAATAATAAAATTAGGCAATTTTGAGTGAAGACACCAAGAATTAAGTTTTTACTGTTCTACCATATCCTATATGGAAAATGATCAAACATTCAAACTCATATACTAGAAGCTTAGGGGCCTAACTATCCAAGCATGTAGATGTGCATAAACTAACCTTATAAGAATAGTGTAGCAAGTTAGATCATGTATATAGCAATGGCCGCGTAGCATCCTAATTGCATATACTATTTACATACATTTGTTCCTCCAAACCCAATAATAAATTAATAATCATAAAAGAAATTGTCTTTGAGATTCATAAACAAATTCATTATATATCACAAACTCAACACTAACCCGAGATGTACATTTCATTTGTGGGCTCAACAATTCACCATATACAAAACTTTCCAAAAACAAGTCGTTCTCTTTACAGTCTTATTCAGCCATCTTTTTTTATAAGTCGTTAGCTAGTGTAACAGTGAAGTCATCTTTTTTTTTGGTACAGTAAAGTCATCTAATACAAGGAAGAAAATTTCTGTGGAAACAATATTTCCTTGTATAAGGCTTGTGTTCAACTCTGGTAACTTACAATTTTCTGCTATATATTGTGTAGGAAGAGGCTCGGAGCCTGAACTAACTAAACTAACTAATCAAAATTGTATTTACATTGTAAAACCGGATAGCAAGTGCTCACGATCACATATGAATCAAACTTCTCTTCATGTCCAAAAGCACTAGCATTCCCAATTTGAGTTTGTAGCAATTTTTTCATTGGGGTTACGTTGAAATAACCCGTAGAAAACTGACCATATAATTCACTCAGAAGTTAACCATGTATATTGCACTTGCAGCAACAGTAACAGCGGCTCCAAAAAGCTGAACAGGTGAGAAGGTCTCACCAAGATACAGAAACAGGAACTGAGCATGGTCAAGCTATCTGCAACTGCAGTGCATCACAAACACAATGTCAATAACCATAAGCTGCAACAGAACAGAACAATAAAATTTTGAACTAAGCTTCTAGAAGGTTCTTAAACCACGGTATACCATTCACACACCCTTTCCGCTTTTTCCTTAAATAGTTAGTTTTTTTCTGGAAAAAATAATAATATATGAATGTAATGACATCTGCTGAAATAAATATTTTTGCAACTATAATCAGAACCCAAAAAATTGAGTCTGGTTTAAAACTACAATGCGAAGAGACGTGATGACCCATCAAAACAGCATAAAAATAAATATAATGAAAAATAGCTATAATTTGTACATTTGAATAAATGCATGTTGTTTTTGGAACTGAAAAAAAATACTAATCATTCAATTAAGTTTGATAACATAAAATTATCAAATACTCTAGTCAAAATGAGATTTGAAGCACATGGTGGTTATTAAAGAAACACACTCATGAATTGTACCTGTAGCATTAAGGCTTTTAGATGTATAGAGCTGTATAGTGATCCAATCCTCTATCAGCCAGCATCTTTCTAATTTTCTCCATATCCTCTAATTTGCCTGTATTTTCATAGATCTTCATAAGAAGTACAAAATTATGTTCATTGTCTGGCTCTAATTCAAAAAGCTTGTTTGCAGAAATCTCTCCTATAGTTACGTTTCCATGCAAAACACATGCATATAATAAAGCTCCCCAAAGAGTTGGACCAGCAGCCTCAGAGCCCATCCCGTCAACTATGATACTATAAGCCTTTTCGATAAGCCCTGCTCTACCATACAGGTTAACCATACAACCATAATGCTCCATAATTGGTTTTATTTTATACTTTTCACACATCAAAGCAAACAATCTCTCTCCATCATTCACCAAACCTAAATGGGCGCAAGCTGATATCAATGAAACAAATGTTATTTTATCAGGATTTTCACCGGCTTCCTCCATTTTCTCAAAATAAGCAATGGCTTCCGGGTGTTTACGATGAGCCGATATTATGGAGTTCCACGAAACAATATCCCTTTCTGGCATTTGATTGAATATTGAACGTGCCTTATCCAACCTTCCATTGCTGGAGTACACAACTATCAATGAATTAGCGATGGACAAGCTCCACTCAACACCTTGTCGGATTACCCATCCATGAATTTGGACCCCAACATCCAGTGATGACACGCCAGTAAGAATTGCGGATATAGAAAAAGAGTCAGGTTTTTCCCCTTCCAAAAGCATTTGGCGAAAAATGTTGATTGCCTCAACCTCAACACCATGATGAACATAAGCTGCTAGCATTGAGTTCCATGAAACCGAATCTCTAAAAGGTATCTTGTTAAAGATCTTCCTCGCTTTCACAATGTCACCACACTTAGAATACATGTCAACAAGTGCATTAAGTACAAACCCATCATCGCCAAACCCAGAACGCACTACATGACGATGCACCTCTTCCCCAACTCGAACCAACCCAATTCCAGCACAAACTTTAAGAACCCGAGGAAAGGTAAACAAGTCAGGTTCAACACCCTCTTCCACCATTTGGAAGTAAAGTGCAATAGCATCATCATAAAAACCCAATTGGGCATATCCAGATATAAGTGAATTCCATGGAAATGCATACATATCTTTCTCAGTCATTTGATCAAACAGGTCATGTGCCTCATCCATATACCCAAATGAAGCATACAACCTAACAAGTTTAGACGATATACCAACGTTTCTATGCAAAAGCGTTGGTGGGATAAGGCGGTGAAGTCGAATACCATGATGAATAGCTTGAAAACGGTAACAAGTTTCTAACAAAGAAGCATAAATTTCAGGGTCAATTTTGATGCCTTTCTCTATAGAATCTTCAAGGTCATTGAGGACTTGTTCAAGTGCTTGGAATTTGGATTGAGGATATGGTTGATGGTGAATTATAAGTGGAGTTGGTTTGGGTTGTGGGTAAGAAAAGGTGTTTTTTCCTTTTTGGGTTTCCCATTTTCTTAGTTTCTTTGGTTTCTTGTTATCGGTTTTCTTTTTAGCTGAAATGGATGTGTAGAGAAGTGACAATATATCATTTGAATTGTACTCTTTAAGACTGGTAGTTACAGCAGGGCTATTGTTAGAGGTGGAATAGTTGCGGAGGATAGTGGTGGCGGTGACGACGGTGAAGGGAGTAGAGGATAACCACGACGACGCCATGCACGACGGGAGTGAGTGGCGACTGATACCAGAGAATAAGATGTGATGGTTATGGGCCGTTTGTTATTTTTAAGAAAAATGATCTTCAATCTTTTTATTTGAAAATTTATTCAAATAAGTTATTTCAAATTTATTATGTTAAAATTATTTTGATATTCAATATAATAAAAATTACAGATTTTCTTTGATAACATAAATCTTTATAATTCATATTTGTTCTCAATTATGAAAGGTAATTGAATCGCAATAACAAACATTGTACAGATATATCTGTTTGATCTATAAAAGTTTAAACACAATCTACGAATTATTTGATCACAGGAATCAATTCCTCTTCGAATTAATGCCTTTGTGCACTATATTATCAACTTTGTGAAAATCAAATGGTAGATGATGACTTATCTCTTATATAAGGTTTTTTTTTTTTACGGATTCTCCTTTTCAGAGGTGGAAGACTTGCACAATATCAAAACCATCTGCTCATGGAATCTTAACCCATGTATGCTGAAGTTACTTGGATTAGGATCTTTGGCATTTCTTAAAAATAATGATGCCCTAAGATACTTTTTGCTATTGTGAGTAGTATAAGTACACTCATTTGTATGGATGAAGCTACTAAGAGGTCCACGTTTGATCGTTTCTTTAGCCACTTTGCTAGAATTCAAGTGAATCTTGACTTCACTACAAGAATTAGAAACAACCTATAAACATCTTTCAAAATTTTGTGATCAATCTTTGATTTTTGGACATAATGCTAGGAATTATAGAAGACTCAATAGAAACAACGTGCAGGCCCTGATAATGGCCAGAAAAATAAGGCTCAAATTTAAGAACAAAGAATTTTTGTTGCCAAAGTTAACACTCAACTGTATTAATGGTTGAAAGCTTTAATTCCAAAGGAACTTATTCAAACAAAGATAATAATAATATTTAAGCTAAAACCTAGATGAAGTTAAGATGAATCTACCGGATGTTGGCTACAAGTCCAAAATGAATTGTTGTGATCACAAACGATACCTTTCGACAAATTAAGATTGAGAAACAGAGTTTTTGGGTGAACAATGAAATTGATTATAACAAAGAGAGAAAGAAGAAAGGATAAAGAAGAAAGAAGAAGAAGAATTATAACAAATTGTTTACTATTCACTTTCTCATAAGAGTTTACAAATGATTACAAATGAATATCACAATTGGCCTTACTCAACAACCTGAGTGATGTGGCCTATCTATAAACTAACTAGTTAACTTACAACCCAAGCTAACTAAACAATTGGATCCTTAACACAAGCCTCAATTAGACGTACATTTCAACAATACATATTAAAACTGACTTCGACTATAATATGTATCATTCGACTACAGCATGCGACTCATCTTCGACTTCATGCTTGTCTCCTGTCGAAACACATGAAAGTTATTCCTCGACAGAGCTAGAGTTCGACCCAAAATATCACAAATCTTCACCTTGGATCTAACTCTACAACAACAGGGAATAAACTAGCTTTCATCATGCAGTTTTATCAACTGCATACAGTGAAAAAATTTGCTACTTGGCAACGTCTTGGTGATCATATTCATAGCATTGTCATCAGTCGAAACCTTCAGCACCTGGACTTCACCGCACTCGATTATCTCTCTGACAAAGTGCAGCCTCACATCGATGTGCTTTATTCGCTCATGATAGGTTGAGTTCTTCGATAGGTGTATTGCACTTTGACTATCACATTTAACAGTGATACTTAGACCTTGAAGTCTCAGCTCCTTTATAAAACCTTCAAGCCACAATTCTTCTTTCGCAGCTTCAGTGAGGGCAATATATTCTACTTCAGTGGTTGATAAGGCAACAACCTTCTGAAGCGTTACTTTCCAACTGATTGATATGCCTAACATAGTGAACACATATCCAGAAATAGACTTTCTGGAATCCATACATCCTGCATACTCAGAGTCGACAAATACTTCGACTTTGATTATGCTATCACCATCACAAACTCCACCATAAATCAAGACTCTTTCCAGAGACCCATTTATGTAATTGAGAATCCACTTTACAGCTTGCCAGTGTGCCTTTCCAGAATTGACCATATACCTGCTTACAAGGCTCACACCATACGCTATGTTTGGCCTCATACAGACCATAACATACATCAAAGAACCTACTACACTAGCATATAGAATGCTACTCATATAGATTCTTTCAGCTTCAGTACTCGGACTTTGAGTAGTACTAAGCTTAAACTGAGGATTTGTTGGAGTCACAACAGGCTTTGAGTTCAACATACCAAACTTGTCGAGAAGCTTCCTTAGGTATGTCTCTTGAGATAAGCACAACTTTGACTGCTTTCTATCTCTTCGGATGTTAATCCCAAGAATTTTGGTGACAACTCCCAGATCCTTCATTTCGAACTCCTTGTTGAGTTCAGCCTTCATCTCCATTACATCCTCGACACCGCTACTACTTATGAGGATATCATCCACATAAAGCAACAAAATAACAAGTGAATTTCCAAGTCGAGATCTGAAGTAAACACAGTGATCGAACTGGCTCCTAGTGAAACCAATGTGTGCCATGAACTTGTCGAATCTTCTATTTCACTATCAAGGAGATTGTTTCATGCCATACAGCGACCTATTCAGCTTGCACATATAATCTTCCTTATCCTTTTTTGTACACCCTTCAGGTTGACGCATCAGGATCGTTTCGTCTAAGTCACCATACAGAAATGCTATCTTTACATCCATTTGCTTAAGTTCCATGTCGAACTTTGCCACTGCGGCTAACAACATTCGAATGGATCTATGCTTTACAACAAGTGAGAACACATCATTGAAGTCGACACCTTCTTTCTGAGTGAACCCCCTAGCAATCAATCTTGCCTTAAAGCATTTTGACATCTCTCCTTCGATTCCTTCCTTGACCTTAAAAATCCACTTACAACTGACTAATCTTGCTCCTGCGGGTTTCTCAATTAGCTCCCAAGTGTTATTATCATGAAGAGATTTCATCTCGTCATCCATGGCTTTTCGCCATTCATCCTGATTTCGAATCCTCATAGCTTCCTTGTAATCTCTAGGTTTTTCCTCAAGTACCTCACTTTAAGGCAAAAGCTATAAGATCTGCATAACCAAGTCTATGAGGTGGCTTGATGATTGTTCTCAACCTATCTCTTTCCAGTAGGTAGTCATTGACAGTTTCCTCAACCTTTTTAACATCTTGCTCTTCTTCTTCGACTTCATATGGGTTATGCACTTCAGCATCACTATGCTCCACCTTAACAAGAATCTCTACGTGTTCTAGCTCCTCTTCAGAGATTTCTGCACTTCGACCAGCATCACCAGTTTTCTTGAACACCATCTCGACTTCATTGAAAACTACATCGTGACTTGTGATACATCTTTTGTGACCTGGTTCTAGGCACCACAACCTATAACCTTTGACTCCCTCAGGATATCCAAGGAACATGTATCTTAGAGCTCTAGTTTGACATTGTCTTACCTAATGTGAGCATAGGCTAAACAACGAAATACTCTCAGTTTTTCGAGATCAGGTGGTTGACCCAACCAAACTTCTTCAGGTGTCTTCATCCTCAAAGCATTCGAGGGACATCTATTTATCAGATAAGCTACTGTCGAAACATCCTATGCCCAAAACACCTTCTTCAATCCAACACTAACCAACATGCATCTAACCCTTTCAAGGATTGTTCGATTGAATCTATCAGCTAAGCCATTTTTTTAGGAGTACCTGCTATAGTCTTATGCCTTACAATCCCAGACTCAACATAATAACCGTTGAAAGCTTCGTTGCAAAACTCAAGGCTATTGTCAGTTCTCAACCTCTTAACTTTTCTGCCAGTTTATGTTTCGACCAGAACCTTGCAACTTTTGAAATTCTCAAAATTTTCATCCTTAGTCTTCTGAATGAACACCCATAATTTTCTAGAATAGTCATCAACTATGGATAGAAAATACCTTGCACCTGCATGTGAAGGACTCTAGGTAGGCCCCTAAAGATCAGCATGGATGTAATCAAGGGATCCATGTGTTCTTTGCTTACCTTTGTTAAACTTTGCCCTACACGATTTACCAAATACACAACGTTCACAAAACTCCAACTTCTTGACTTTGTCACCACCTAGTAGGTTCTGTTTCCCCAATTCGACCAGGCCTATTTCGCTGACATGGCCCAATCTCATGTGCCATAATTTTGTCTTCGACACCGGTTTCGTGGATGCAAAATCTGCTGAACCACTTACAACATCAGCCTTAAGGGTATACAAGCCTTGTTTCTTCACGCCTCTCAAGACTTCCTTCGACCCCTTCATGACTTTCAGGATACCTTGCTCTCCTTTGAAGACATATCCTTTCTTGTCGAATTCACCAAGAGAAATCAAATACCTCTTAAGGTCATGTACATACCTAACCCTAGTCAATAGCCTTATTGACTCATCATGAAGCTTGAACCTTACAGATCCAATACCTGCAATCTTGAAAGCTTTATTGTTTCCCAACAGCACTGGTCCACCATCTTGATCACATAAATCTTCAAATACATTCTTGTTTGGAGTCATATTCCAAGTACATCCAGAATCCATAATCCATTATTTGCAATAGTTGTTGCTCGACACCACAAGGACACCAGATGATTCATAATCATCTTACACAATAGTTGCATTCCCATTGTAATCACCTCCATGATTATTCAAGAGCTCAGGGCACACCTTTCATGTGTGACCCTCCTTCTTACAGTGATAAGACTTAATCCCAAAAATATCACCACCATAAGACTTCTGCTGAGTTTTTATTTCCCTTGAAAATCGGAAAACAACCGCTGATCTTCCAAATCTAACTTTGGTGACTCACAGGATCGATCAGATTGATCCTAGGTCATGTGCTAAAAGGTTTTCTTTGGACATTTATCTAAGTTTTACACTTTTGACAATATTTGGGAGAAGGTTCTAAAGGTTACCTATTCGACTATAGGTAAAAAAGTACATAAA